ATTCATATATAATTTTTATTTATTTATTTATTTTTTTTTTTGTAATATTTATTAACTAAAAAGTCAACAATATGGAAACTAAATATGCGACCTAAATAATCTCGTAACCTTTTCAACTCCGATAAATTTTTTAACTTTAACTTTCAGCTTTCCTTCATATAGTTTCTTTAATACATTTCATTTTTTGCTTCCATTAAATTTCACACAAAGGAAAATGTTGTAAATAAACAATTTAATTAAATTCATAGTAGATGCTGTAAGAGTACCAAACATCTGCTCTGAATGCAAAAGGATTAAGCGTGGCAGAGGATTGTCATATTAAAAAAGGTAATGAATGCATCCTTGAAGGATATTATTTTGCAACTCTTGACTGTTTGCCAGCAATTATGTTCATACAGGATCTTTGCATGTAGGCTACTCTGTCTGACGCTTTTTAATGGCAAGCAACTCTTGTCCTTTTACTTGAGTGTGTGTTTGTGTGTGTGTATGTCTTGATTGCGTAATGCAATAAAACTGCCAATGAAAACATTTATCAGACTTATGCGCACGTTTGCTTAATTGAATTCAATCCCTTTGAGCCGTAATAAAATGCCAATGCAATTCAATTAATATGTTAGTTGTGCAATTATTAAATCACATGGCCAAAAGGCGATGGCCAAATGAACGAACGCTGCAAGGTTAAGAAATCTCTTCATAATTGGCTAGCAAATCTCGATTGCTTGACAACATTTTATTCAATAAATAAATAAATAGCTGTGAACATATAATTATTTCTATATTTGCACACAACTAATTCCATTTTCCACTCTTACGCTTCGGTGCTCAGAGTAAAGAGCAAATTTTGTTGGAGTTTAATTTTTCAACAAATATTAGGTAATTTAAGTATCAAGATACATTTAAAATCAGTCCTTATTCTTATATGTACAAAAAATAAATACTATTTTTAAGCAAAAAAATTGAATATAATTTTTTAATATCAAAAAGCCTAATAATAATCAAAATAAAATAATAAAAATACTGAAAAATGTATGTATATAAT